TGTGTTTGTCTGCTGCACAGTAAGAATCAGCTGACTGGGAGCTTTTCTCTGTTTGACTGTCAAAATCAAATCTCTCTATCAAACATTTAAACTGAGGTTTGGTTTCCGTCTGAACAAAGAGCCCACAGCACTAATAATATAATCCCTCAAACACAGTTTTTATTCCAAAATACTTCAAACAACTAAAGTAGTCCCGACTTTAATGATCCCCTCCTTTTCTACCTGTGCAGGTGTTGTGGAGGGGCCACGCCCATCACTGCCCCCTCAGCTGAAGTTAAATGTAGTCGTATGATTTGGTCGTGAACATGTTAAATACTCAGACTCTGCACCAATCACAGCAGCGTGAGCTGAGTCTAAAGGACCAGTTTAGTCCATATACCAGTACTTCCAGTATGACTTGTTTCTCCTTCTTCTTCCTGTTTCCATTGTTTATTGTTCAATCACGTGCAGGTCTGAGTCAGGCAGGCAGAGGACGTGAAACGATCAGATACGTGTCACTTCCTGTTGGTGGCAGTGAGGAGTTTCAGTCGTTGGCTTCTGTGTGCAGCTTTAAAGCTTCTTTAACAGAGTTTGATGGTCAGCTGATCAGGTTACCGTCAGTGTCAGACTGAAGCTGCTCGTCTTCTTTACCTCAGCGTCTCGTCTCCTGACAGCTGACGAGTCTGAACCTGAAGCAGGTTTGATCCTGTCAGAGACGTCGCTGTTATCTGAGGAAACTGCATTTCCCAGCAGCCCTGGTTCAGAGCCTGTCCTGGTGTCCTGGAGCTGCAGTGACCTCAGCGAACAGGTGAGTGTGACTGTGTGATGACCATGAAGTGTTTGTGCCTCTGTCACGTCTGATTCTTCTTTCACTTACTGAGAACGATCAAAGCGAGGCTTCCAGTCTGAAACATCTCCTGCACAGCTCCACCCAGTGATGAGCAAACCGTCAGTGATGGAGATCGTTGTGTTTGAGAGAAATAAAATGTTCTGTAAAAACAAACAGGGAGGCTCAGCTGATGGGACTGAATGGATCTCAGTCTTTCTTCTTTTCTCTCGTCTACGTGTCAGTAATTATTCACACAAGGAAACATTTATTACATTCTGTCAGTCACTACCAAAGCTCATGACCACAGGAAGGCTGTAGATCACTTTATGCTCACCGCCTGTAAAGGTAGAGCTGCGACTCTGAGGCCTCTTGGCTCCACACAGAATCTCTGTTCATTAAAATTATGAACAGGATCAGTGAGGAAGGGCAGGCTGTGTGGAGTCCATGCACCAGAAAAACCAGGTCTGCCATAGATGCAGACGTGCTCTCAAACTGGTTGCACTGGGACTGAATGGCTCGTAATAATGGGCCGGGCAACCCCGTACTCCTGAAGCACCTCCCACAGGCTGCTCCTACTAGTAAGGTGGAGATTCATGGAGGAGCACTTTGACCTTTATTCATATTAAATGTTGTTGGTCTTCTGTTTGCAGTGAACTGGACCTGAAGCTCTGCCTGGACGTCAGCCTCTGACTGAAGCTCATCACCTCCAGGAGCACACAGACCTTCACCATCCAGACCATCTTTATATGTGAAGACGTGAACATGGCTCAGCGAGGACTTCAGCTGGACCGTGAGAGGTTCTGCTGTCCGGTCTGTCTGGATCTCCTGCAGCATCCAGCCACTCTGCCCTGTGGGCACAGCTACTGCATGTGCTGTATTAAGAAGCACTGGGATGGAGAGAGTGAGGGGGGGGTCCCCACCTGTCCTCAGTGCAGACAGACCTTCATACCCAAACCAGTCCTGGGGAAAAACACCGTGTTAGCAGACTTGGTGGAGGAGCTGAAGAAGACCGGACTCCAGGCTGCTCCTCATCCTCAGCACTATGCTGGACCTGCAGATGTGGCCTGTGACGTGTGCAGCGGGAGGAAGCTGAAAGCCTCCAGGTCCTGTCTGCAGTGTGTGGCCTCCTACTGCGAGCTCCACCTCCGGCCTCACCACGAAGCCCCGATTTTTCACAAACACCAGCTGGTGGAGGCCTCGGCGGAGCTCCAGGAGATCATCTGCTCCGTTCACAGCAAAGTGAAGGAGGTGTTCTGTCGCAGCGATCAGCAATGCATCTGCCTCCTCTGTGCTATGGACGCACACCGAGGCCACGACACGGTGTCGGCTGCAGCAGAGAGGAGCGCGAGGCAGCGAGAGCTCGGGCCGATGAGGCTCGACGTCCAGCTGAGGATCCAGGACGCACAGAGAGACGTGGAGCTGCTTCAGCGGCAGGTGGAGGCCATCGATCGCTCCGCCGACGAAGCCCTGAAGGACAGTGGGACCCGGTTGAGCCAGCTGCTGCGACTGGTGGAGGACAAAAGCTGCTCGGTGCAGCAGCAGATCAGCTCCCAGCAGCAAACAGAAGTGAGTGGAGTCACAGAGCTGGAGAAGAAGCTGCAGCAGGAGATCAGCGAGCTGAGGAGGAGAGATGTGGAGCTGGAGCAGCTCTCACGCACAGAGGAGCACAGCCAGTTTCTCCTCAGGTACTCCTCGCTGTCAGCCCTCAGTGAACCCGCACGCTCAGCCAGCGTCAGCGTCCGTCCTCCCTGCTGCTTCCTGGACGTGACGGCAGCTGTTTCTGAGCTCACAGACAAAATCCAAAGCTTCCTGAGTCAGGACCGGATCTCAGCCGGGACCAGAGCCGAGTTACTCCGAGACTCCCGGCTCCTCAGCGTGGATCCGAACACAGTGAGCGTGGGGCTGAAGGTCACAGAGGCGAACAGGAAGCTAACGTTTGTGGGGAGGAAACAGTCCTACCCTCATCATCGTCGCAGATTCACCGACAGCTTCCAGGCTTTGAGCACGCAGAGTCTGACTGCTCACTCTTACTGGGAGGTGAAGTGGCGCGGGGTCGTTTCAGTGGCGGTCGCATACGGGAGCGTGAGCCGAACAGGAAGTGACAGCAGTTTTGGAGATGACCACAAGTCCTGGGCGTTGTACTGTGACAGGAACGGTTATAAAGCGAGACACGACGGAGTGAGCGCGCTCCTGTCGGGGCCTCCGTCCTCCGTGGTTGGAGTGCACCTGGATCACGGTGCAGGCGTGCTGTCCTTCTACAGCGTCTGTGACAGCGTCACGCTCCTCCACAGAGTCCACACCACCTTCACCGAGCCCCTACACGCTGGACTCGGCGTGGGCTTGGGATCCACTGCTGAGCTGCTCCAGCCCAGTTAGAGCAACACCTGCTGGCGTTTGGGCGGGGCTACCTGTGACTGTTAGCCAATGAGTGTGTAGTATTGTAGTTCTTAATAAAGCAGTGATCTGATCTTCAGGTTTCCTCACATGCGTTCATGTCAGGATGTTTCTGCTTTCTGCATGATGCACTTTCATACTTAGAGATGTGCTCAGGAAAGTTCCTCTCTGAGGGTCATTCCACCTTAAATGAGCCTTCTGCTCGACCACGTGTGGTTTGCACAATCATTTGGTGTAATGGTTGAACAGATATAATGAAATGTTAGACTTTAAAGTCCATCTACAGAAATCTGAGGCTGTGCTTGAACAACAACATCTCAAAAACCGATGAAATCTTGATATGTTCACTCGTCTTTCTTACATTGAGATGAATCAAGATCTGTAATTCAGGACAGATACATTAAAATAAGACGAGTACTGGTTGTGTCTGTGAGGTTCTCAGTTATTCAGGTCATGGTGATCGAAGGAGCTCTGATAGAAAAGCATCTGGACGTCTTTAAGTCTCTTGAAGACGTTTCATCTGAAAAGCTTCTTCAGTTCTAAGAACGACTGGAGACTCAGATTTAAGTCAGTAAAGTTTATTTATTAATAGCTTTTCACAGACAGGCAGCCACAAAGCGCTGCACACAGATTAAACAGACATTATACACAATGTAAACGGCTTAAATTAAATTAGAAACGTGAAGAATATAAAATACGTAGATCCAACACGTTCTCACTCCCAACTCGTCACGCATGGTCAGGCTCCCTCTGCTTCACTTATCGACGCGCAGGGTCCTCTCATTGAATACTATAGAGCTCCCTAAACGTTGCTTATTGACGACAAGAGATTGC